TAGCCTCTAAAGCAGATCTAGAGTCTGACATTATTAATGCATTGGAGGGATTAAGCATCAACCACTCCAACGCATTTTCTATAGCCATAATCTCAGCGGAGTATACTGTACAAAAGTGGTGGATTTTATTTTTTTTTTTACATATTTATCGGGGATAAAAACAGCATAACCTGTACCCTCACTAGTTTTTGAACCATCGGTGTAGATCTTTAAGAAATTATTATACCTAGCAAAAATTAAGTACGGCTCGGTTAGAATGTTCAATATCAGTGTATTTTGGCAAAATAACAGTTGGCTTAAACAATATTATCGAAAAATCAATTTTAAAAATAGGAAGCTTTTTGGATTCTGTTGTGGATTTAATGCAATCTGGTAAATTAGAATATGCCTCGACAAGAGGAGGGAAATTTTTGTTAGACCAATATTTATTTGTTAAATTTTCAATATACAACTGAAAAATATTAATGTTCAAAGGATTGACACATTGAAAATATTTCCAACGCACTACTCTTTTATAGGACAAGAAATATCTTCTGAATTCAAGGGGAGGCTCCTGAGCCTCTACTAAAATGGCATTTATTGGAGATGATTTAAGTGCCTCTAAACAGATTTTTATGGAACTGTATTGTATTCTATCAACTTTTTTTAAATGTGTATTCGCTGCTGATCCGTACAGAACAGCCCCATAATCAATTTTTAGTTTCATTAACACTAAGCCCAAAGAGTATAATATTGTTCCTGCGGGTATATTTTTCATAGGTTTCATTTCGTTTTTCCACCAAAATTATTATGTATAACCTTCTTTTGCACAGGATCTAGTTGAGGTAGGCTATCAGACGGATTTATGCAGAAAAAACTATTTTTTCAACACTTTTTCCATTAATATTGTTACATTCTCTAAAATGATGATAAATCGTAAATAAATGTACATCAAAAATTATAAATCTCGTTTATCTTATTTTTAAAACAAATATTCTGTTCATACTTAAGGCATTTCTTTATAAGCTTACTACAACATACTTGGTTACAGTATTGTGGTTACTGTGGTGACATTACGCATACCATGGTTTCCCTATTATTGAATGTCATATGTCAAATTTAATTTAAGTTTGGGGATTTCTAAACGAAATTTGTATTTTAGAAATTTTAGGATGTTTTGACTTTGTTATTTTTTATTATAGTATGTTCTAGTAAGCTTAAATAAAGGCATTTCTTTATAAGCTTAATACGACATACTTCGTAACAGCGTTGTGGTTACTCTGATGACGTCAGACATACCGTGGTAACTCGTAGCACTTGTCATTGTCACATGTCAAATTGGGGATTTGTTTACTTTGTTTTTGTTCAGATAAATAAAAGTGTTTTTGTCACAGACGTCATTTGGTTTTCGTTCTTTTGTTATTTATTTAAATGTGTCTCCTCCAACAAAAGGAAGAAAAAAATTAATAAGTGTTATTTGTGATGAAATAACAATGATAAATACTTGTGCCAGTAGTCCTATATTTTCATCTTTATATTTCAATATAAATAACAGTATCCAATGGCCATCAACATCGCTCTCGTGAAGAGTTATTTCAGTGCCCTGTATTTCAAATATAATTTCTTTCATAGTAAATAGAGTTTTCTTTGGTAAATACAAAAATGCCCAACCCAAATATACAAAATGAACCATATAACCCGTAACCACAGAAAAATGTATCTAATTTAATATCTTTACAATACTTTGCGCATGCTCGATATGTTTAAATGTGGACCTTACTGACCTTACCACACACCTTACCCCTAAAAACATCATGGTTAGTAGTAGTTACGTATTTTGGTAACGTATGACGTCATGGAAGTAACCAAACCGTTTAAAGAATTGCTTTGGTTACATAAGTATGTTCTAGTAAGTTATGGTAAGCTTATAAAGAAATGCCTCGTTAGATGTAGCTACATATGCTTTGGTAACATGTAACCAAAGCAGAGTAACCAAACGTTATAAAGAAATGCTCTGGTTACAGAAGTATGTTCTGGTAAGCTTATAAAGAAATGCCTTTAATCAACTATTGGTCCATCTATTAGTAAATAGAGAAATTACGATTCGATGGTTCGGTAGAAGACGACAAAATTATCAAAGACCTTGGACCACATACTTTGATTTTCTTTTACTATACGGAGAATGGTCGCACTGCGCAGCTTTCTGAGTGCCTTTTAAAAGGAGATAGAAAACTCCGCCATTTAGAATCCTTATTACGTGTTGCCTACATCTTGGCGCAATATTTTTAATAGGTGCGTTTTAATCATCCGTTCCTGCTTCGGAATTGTCGGTTTTCTTGTTTTAATCTGACAGGTTAAACCGACAATTCAGGCCCGACTAGAGGGGGGGGGTAGCCGGGACTAATTCCCGGGGCCCGGGCTCAAATGGGGGCCCGGTAGCGCTATTAGGGGGGCCCGACAATAGTGTTTTCTGTTTCTGCATGAGAAATACGACATAAGAAGAGAAAGGGGAGATGGGAAAAGTTTTAGCTTATTAGCTTAGAGGGTTTGTTTTTAGAAGAAGAAGTAATAATTGAAGTAGGAAGAAAATATTTTTTTCGAGGTGAGGACTTTTTTTTTATAGAAAATGAAAAGATTTTGGTTCAGTTTCTTTGTGACAGGGCCCGATGTAGAGAATTGTCCCGGGGCCCGGCCTGGCTCTCGGCGGCCCTGGATACTATCCATTGTCCTCCAATATAAGTGTCATTGGGAGTGTTCTACTAGGTTATCTAAATATCATGGTATATTGTTACTTTTTGCAAATTTCTTGTAGAGCTGATAACCCAATTTTTAGGCGAGTTTATTATCAATAGAGTATTTAACTCTAAAATTCAAAAAAGAGTTATTCTGTGTTTGCAGTAACCCAGCAATATATACAGGTCGTCAGTCATCTTAATTTTTTTCTTTGTCTAACACTGACCTCCACTTTCCGCAGATACGATTTCTATATATCAAAATATTAAAGAAAATGCCAAAATAATATTGACACTAATTTGTTATATTTTCTGTGAGACAATAATATCACACTATGGGATTAGGGCTGCCATACCTCCCGATTTAGGCGGGAGCCTCCCGATTTCTTACACTCCCTCCCGCTTTTTACACTAAGCTATAAACCTCCCGATTTTTCAAAAATCTCCTAATTTACCCCGAATTTACATTGAATAGATATTAAAAAATTATTAATATGCTAACGATACTATCAAATTATCGGTCATTCAGCCCATGTCTACAAATATGGTAATCTCTACAAGCGCCATCTTTTATAAGTCGATGGATTTGAAAACAAACCCTAAATTGGACTATTTCAAAAAAATGTCTGATGAGTTTGAGATTGGTGTAGATATTAACCTACTTTTAGAAGAATTTGTAAAGTTCTCATCATATTTGGAAAACCCTTTACTAAATTTTAAAGACATTAAAATTGACCAGCAATGGGTTTATTATTTTATGTTTTTCTCTTCCTACTCAAACGCGACGAGTGAGAACATTTTTAGTCTAATGTTTGTAGCCGGAGGACAGAAAGACATTCTCTTTCTATAGAAACAGAATCTAAACTAATGATTAAATTTAATTATACTGAAAGAATTTGCAAAAAGATTTGAAAAGAAGAAAAAAGTCTTCTTGGTAGAGTAGGAAACAGTTCAAAATATTTGAAATTTTATAATAACTAATTGGTTACAATAGGAATTTTACATCTTTTGAAAAGTTTAACTATTTTAATGTAAGCATTTTTTGTTGAATTATGTATATTTTTTATATATTTATATTTTATTTATATAACAGACATCCAAAGTTTGCCAGGTGGCGTGATTCTGTAAACACAAACAGAAACGAAGCAATAACTTATTTTTCAGTATTCTTTGTACTTACAGAAAAAACCCACAGAGCTGGAATTATGTTTTAGTTCAAGTGTTAACCCTCCTATTGTTAATTTTTTTTGTGTTTGTTTATACAAATGTACAGTCGTGACATGAAGATTGCCAAAAATGATACCAAAATTAAGAATAGGTACTTGTACGCAGTGGCGTAGCCACGGGAGGGGTTCTGGGGGTCAGAACCCCCCATGGAAGGCCCTCGTGTCACCATTTCCACTATAGTATGGCACTGATCGCTATTGACTGTTTACTTTTATTCACTTTCTTGATGGAACCCCCCCATAGTTCTCAAAAAACCCTCCCGAGAAAAATGGCTGGTTACGCCACTGCTTGTACGTTGACTTGTTGGAAATGTTTTATTAATCGGGCATTGAAATTTGTTTTTTATGCTACTGTAATATCTTTGTATATTTAGTAGGTATTTGAATATTAAGTATTAAAATAAATGTTTTTTCTTAAAAAATTAAAACCTCCCGCTTTTCATTTCTGAAAATCTGGCAGCCCTATATGGGATTGACTATTATATAAAAGACATCAAATTCAATCATTATTTTTATTGTCAAAAGTACAATTACTGTTACATCTCGTCTATCTAGACTTAACGTTTATATGGATATTTAACAACTGTTTACATTATGCTCTCATTTTCATATATTTTAAATTGCCGTCATGTATAAGTAAAAATTTCCTAGCAGAAACATTCATGAGTACATACCAAACAGAAAACAATATTCAAAAGCACATCATGTTATTCAACTTTGCTCTTTTATAAATGAAGTTAGCTACTGTACAATGTACAGGGTCTGTTAAACTTTCGGAAACAGATAAACCTATTCCATAAAACATACTAGCCGCGCCGAAGAGATGCAGTGTTCACATGCACATCAACCTAAAATGAGTGTTCGATTGCCGTCTGAAGATCGTCAATAATACATAGATGAGGAACTAACGCCTAAGTGCCATTCGCACCGCTAATAGTTAAGAAATAAGCCAAGCTTAAAATTACATTTTCACATTGACAATGTCATTTTAAGCTTCGCTTATTTCTTAACTACTAGCGGTGCGAATGGTCCTAAGCGAGTGTTTTATTTAATCAATAATTCAAAGCAGATCGTTTTCTGTGCGACCGTTGGGCGTTCTCGTTTTTTATTTAGATTTACTTTATTCCGCAAAGACCTATGTGTTTAAGGCGACGTGTAGATTCCCTAGATCTATTATTCTTGATGTTAATTACATTATTCTACTAAAACCTGCTCCTGGCCTATAACCTAGTCAGAGGAGGTTTCAAGAGCCCAGCCCTCAACACAATATTCACGCAGTTTTATTGCTACATCTCTTTGGCGCGTCGACTACTGTAGCTGTTAATTTTTGCCTAGGGATCAGTAGTGCCTATTAGTAAAGTTCAGATTCCAAAATAAGGCCCATTTTGTATCTAACTACATATTTTAATTTACAAATACTATTTGTATGATATGTAACTTCTACTTATTGTTGTTGATGTGTTCGTAATTATTATTCTATAAATGACATGCAAAAACAAAACAATTCATCCTAAACATTAATTTTTATACCTAATTTTTGTTTAAATACAAGGATTGTATTGAGGTGCCATACTAATATGGTCACAAAGGACTCTGTCATTAGGATTCGCGACTGGGATCCTGAACAATTTGCCTACTGGCATACAAACACAAATTTTAAATTGTGATGTGATGTAGTTATTACTGAGTCTAGCCACAGGGATTTTATTCAGATCTATAAAGATACCCTCTTTTCCAACTAAAACTAGGGAACCATTTTTTAAGCTCTTTAGGTGGATATCTTGGTCAGCTTCCCATTTTATATCTTTACCAAAAATATGCGTTCCTTCAGCACCTTTGAGACTGATTGAATCCCCATCAACTGTTAGATCGTCTTCTAACGGACTTCTTATTCTGTTGGTTTGCATATGTTTTGTTCTTAAATTGTGAACGTTTTTTAAATTTTCATAAGTCGGTTCATTGATGGTAAATATCGATTCTCTTTGCATAGTTTTGACATCAAAAGAGTTTAATCCTCTGAAAAATGTTTCGTTTGGATCCAGTTTAACTTTTAGTGTCCCCCGTCCGTTTTTAACTAAATTAAGTATGATGGAGTTGTAGTATGAGGTTATTTCCATTGGTTGGTCTTGAAACGATTCAATTTTTCCATCTCTTTTGTATAGGTGATCAAGATTGGCTTCTCCAAAGAATTTGATTGCTTGTGATTCAGGAACCAATTCTATACTTTGCATACCTAAAAACAATAAACATTTGATGAAGAAATTTTTACACCTTTGTCATCTTTACAAATTAAAATGTAAATAAACCATAATTTATATATTATTCAAATAAGATAAACATGGTACTATTTTAATTTTTTTAAGTCTCAAATAACTGGTGTAAATGAGCTAACACCAGGTTGCCAGAACGTTCATTCAAATTTACGTGCCTGATCATAATACACATACTAATGGTATGCTGACTTTCGATTCAAAATTAGTCCAAACCGAGCATGACGTAATGCGGGACGAACTTTCAAGTTATTTTGACACTTTTCGATTGAATAGTGTAAAATAATTTATTTGGTTTTGTGTTAGTAGTGACTATATTTTCCTATATATAACATAGAAGAACTAAATTAATGTTTAAAATGCAGGTCTGCGCGGTGAGATATTTCCGAATGCCACAAAATATGGGTAAATTATTATCGAAGAAAGGACAAACTTAATTGAACTTTGAGAAAAGTGGTTGTGAGATTCCTCTTAAACATAGACGCAAGAAAAGAAAACTGAATTTCACCAGGTGCACGGGCCTCATTAAACAAAGAAAATAAATCGGTATTTTAAAATTTTAGCAGATAAAACAGTAGTTTCCTGTCCCAATACAACGGTTATTTTAAAGTAATGCCATGCATAAGCAGGACACGAACACATGATAAATAAGATAAATGAACAGAAAAATTGGTTTTGAGTATTTTCGAAGTAAACTTGACAAAAAAATGTTTAAATTTACGAAATAACAAGTAATTTTTTTGTGTATTTAATTTTTATAAATAAATAATTTGTTACTGCACACTTATTTTTATTTCACATAATAAGAAAAGAGATTGCAAGAGAACTATCACGCCCAGAAAGTACAAATTTGAGTCAAACTTGTATTTTTAGTCTATATTTTGTACTTATCTTGTGACCAGATTATGGATTTTGTCAAACAAACCTTCCCACTGGCAATTCATTTGTTTGGAATGCCTAATTACGCGATTTCTTCTTTTCTTATTTTATGTGTCATTTATAATACGTGATACGCAGTGAAATGATATATGAAATATCATAGATTGGTGTGAAGTTAGCAGTAACTTTTAGCAGTAAAAATAACCGAAAACACCCGATCGGGATGCCATTTATAATACGTGATACGCAGTGGAATGATATATGAAATATCATAGATTGGTGTGAAGTTAGCAGTAACTTTTAGCAGTAAAAATAACCGAAAACACCCGATCGGGAAAACAGTTGCGTCCGGCATAAAACTATTTTAATAATCTTGTCAATATGTATTTTACACACAATGTAAAAGTAGGCAATGAAAAAGAAAATATAAGTGTTCTTATAACTTTTAATGGAAATGGAATTATTGCCCATCCACTTGTGATTTTCCCATATGTACGTTCACCTCGAGCTGTGGTGGATAATATGCCAGATAATTGGATACTTGGTAATTCAGGAAAGGGTTGGATGACGTCTGACGTTTTTTACGAATATTTTGCCAACGACTTTCATGAATGGTTGAAAGAGACAGGTATAAAGAAACCAATAATAATTTTTATTGATGGACACAGATCTCATATGACATTGGCTTTAAGCGAATGGTGTGAAAAAAATCAAATAATATTATACGCATTACCCCCCAATACCACACACATCTTGCAACCAGCCGATGTTGCACTATTTATACCGATGAAACAAGAGTGGAAGGAAACTATAAGAAAGTGGCAGAGTAAGTCAGAAAATGTTAAAAGTTCTGTAACCAAAATAAACTTTTGTTCCCTTTTCAATGAAGTGTTAGCAAATAACGAAGAATTGAAAACCACATTAAAAATGGATTCCGTAAGTGCGGATTATATCCATTGGATGTCGATGCTGTCGACTATATAAAATGTGTCCTCAATACAGCAGAAAGGTTAACCAAAAGTAATAGAAAACCTAATGAATCTAGAAAATCTAATGAATACTGTACTCGGCAAGATTTTCGATCAGCCAAAAAAATTATTAATAAAATTAAAGACAATTTAACATCTTACGGCATAAATGTAGAAGTAGTTTTAAAAGAAATTACGCTTTTGGAAGAAAATAGTCGAAGGAAAAAATCAAAATCTTCATCGAAAAGGCAATCTATGATAGAAACTCTCCTTTTGGAAATGGAAACCAAGCTGTTACAGTCTGAAGAAACAAATTATTTGCAGTGTATAGAGGATGCAGAAGTTGTCCTTGCTTTAAATGAACTTAATGGCACATCTAAGATAGACACTACCAGCAATATAAGTATTACAGATGTTATACTTAGTAGTAAAAGTACTACTAAGTGTAACATCTACCTCATCATTTTTAAACGATGTTGGAGCCATCATTACTAATGAAGACAACTCTGCACTTCGACCGAATGAAAAAATTAAACATTCTATACCTACAACCAGTACTCCAGATGAAGAAAAAATAAAGAAAAAGGTAGGATCGATACCGTATCCTACTGTAACAACCGATATCAACGCTATAGTAGCACTGGAAACTACAGTTTCTCCAGATAATGTTAATTCTGATAATAATATAAAAGACGACAAATTTCTATATCTATCTATCTATGGGTAAAGAAAACGTAGAAACTACAGTTTGCCTAAATATTAACTTTAATACAAAAGAAGTGAAAAGCAGTGAGTACACGCGGTAAAAAACAATAAAATCCAATAAAAATACGTCTCTCGAAACAATTTTTGCAAACCATTTGAAATACCCTGACCCAATTAAAAAAGGTAAAAAAAATAATGAAAAAACTTTGGAAAAGGCACCAAGTGCCATATCGTCTGTAAAATGGAGAGAACATTATAGGAAATTGGACGAGGCAAAAAAACAGAAGGAAATTGAAAAGATCCAAACAAAAGCAGTAAGAGAGGAAGAAGAGAAGGTCAAGGAACTTGTAAAGACTAAAAAAAGAGAAGCAAAGGGTGAAATAGAGAAAAACAGAACACTTAAAAAAAAGGTACTCGAAAAAGATAAAGAAAATAATATAAACAAAAATAAAATACCCTGTACTCAATGCAACGAAGAATTAAACAGCGACACAGATGACGATGACAAAAAAAAACATAGGGTGTGATTTGTGTGATAATTGGTACCATAAAAAGTGTACTTTATTTATCAACATACCTTATGAAATAGCTGCAACAAAAGACTACAAATGCAGCCAATGCAAAAAAAATAATTAACTTTTTTACTCTTTTTATACTTTATACCCCAACTTTTATTTCTATTCATTAAAAAATAACTTTTTTTTGATGATTTGAAGTTTTATTATTATTAGAATGGCATAGAATAGAATAGAATGTACTTTTTCTACTACCGTGCGTAAAGTACGTACTTTACGCACTCCACGAAGTGTGTAAAGTTGTACTTTTTTCACTAGTGCGTAAAGTAAAGTACTTTTTTTCACTACAGTAAAAAAGAAACTTTTATTTTTCTAATATTAGTGGATTATGTGTACGGTAGTAGAAAAAATATTGTATGCCACTCGTGTGTAAAGTCCATTTTTTGACGAATGTGAATGTTGTCGCACGAGCCGTAGGCGAGTGCGACAATCACTTTACACACTTGTTGCATAAATAACTATTATTTGCTTAAATAAACTCAGAGCAGTTTTTAGCATCGTCAAATATCAGAAAACAATAAAATTTATATATACATTACATTTTATATTTATATAGAAAACAATTTGGTGACGTCAACTTGATATTTTAGTTAAGAAATTTTTCGTGTTGCAAAATTACTTAAATCAGCCTCATAAAATTCTTTGAATAAACTGCTAGATAAAATAATAATTCCTTGATCTTTTCTTGAATTTATATTCATTAAAAAGCTTAAACTGTGGGGGAAGTTTATTATATAGTTTAATAGAGTTGCATATAAAGCTTTTATCAGTTAATGTTAGTCGATGTTGTGGTAATAACAATTATTGTTCTCTTGACCGAGTGTTGTGCTCATGGGTATCTCCTAGTAGTATAGGATTTATTTTATTTGTTTTTACATATAATAAACATTCTAATATATAAAGAGATGGGAGTGCCAATATTTTTTTTTCCTTGAATAATGGCCTACATGACTCTAGATGAGGCCTTTTTGTTATTGCACGTACTGCCGCTTTTTGTAATATGAATATTTTTTGCCAGTCTACAGAATTTCCCCATAGCAGTATCCCATATGACAGGTGGCTATGAAAAAGACCCATATAGGCCGTTCTACAGACTTCGTTTGTAGTGTACCATGATAATTTTCTGATTAAAAATAGCGTGCTAGATAGTTTTTTTGATAGACTCTCTATATGCTGTTTCCAATCAAGTTTATTATCTAATGTTAAACCTAAGAATTTTGTTGATTTAGTTTGCTGCGGTAAACAACATTTTGACTGTTTTGTCAGTATTCAGTAAAAGATTATTACTAGAGAACCATAAGTTAGACAAGGCAAGAGCTGCAGCATCAAGAGTTTCTAGCTCGTCTTTGTCCTTGTTACAGTGATAATAAGTAGTGTCGTCTGCATACTGAACGGAAAAAGTAGGCTTCAGATAGTAAGGTAGGTCATTCACGTATAGTATAAAGAGGGTTGGCCCAAGAATTGAGCCTTGGGGTACTCCAGCATGAACTTTTTGAGTTTCTGAAGTATTGTTTCCAATTTGTACAAATTGACAACAGTTTTTTAAGTACTGGGTTAGGAGATCATGACCTTTACCTCTTATACCATAGTATGGGAGTTTATTCAATAGTTTTCTGTGGCTAACACAATCAAATGCCTTTGAGAGGTCACAGAAACTTGCTGAAAGCATCTGTGTATCCTCAAAAGCACTGACAATATCAGTCACCAGTTTTGTGATAGCATTTATTGTTGAGGACTTCTTTTTAAAACCAAATTGTTGGTCACTCAGAAGATTAAATTTGTTAAGGTATGCAAAAAGTCTATTGTTAAAAGCTTTTTCAATAGGCTTTGATAGTATAGGTACTATTGATATAGGCCTGTAGTTTTCTGGAAGGTTTTCATTTCCTTTTTTTTTGTATATAGGAGAAACTTTTGAAGTCTTTAAATCCTGAGGAAATGTGCCGTCAGTAAAACATTTATTTATAATCACGATGAGTGGATCATATATACCGTCTGCTAATAATTTAAGAATTTTATTGCTAATACCAAACACTTCCAATGTTGTGCTATTGGATAATTCATTAACAATATCTTTTAATTCCTCCCTATTTACCGGATATAGAAAAAGAGTATTGTTATTCCAAACATGCTTTTTCTGTGAGTCTAAGGGCTCCCTATTTGAGATAGGTGCCTGTAACAAATTTGTGATATTATTAGAGACATTGAGGTAAAAATTATTAAGATCACTATAGGTTTAAGTTTAGTGTTATTTGATTTTTTATCTTTTTTATTTGGTTTTATGAGTTGCCATATACTTCTGGACCTATTCTTGGATGAATTAATTTTATTTGTGAAATAGTTTTGTTTTTGTTCCCGAATTTTATTTTTATATGTAAGTTTTAGATTTTTAATTTCTAATTCTAAATTATCATCTTTTATCACTTTTGTTAGTTGGTGTAAATCGTTTAGCTGTTGTCTGATAAGTTTTAGTTCATAATTATACCATTTTTTATTTCGTGTATGAACGTTATTGGTTTTTATTGGTAAATATTCTTCAACGGCATGTCGGAATGTTTCTAGAAATATATGGCACATATCATCTACACTATCTGAATCTTTAAGTAAAGTCCAGTCATGGTTTTTTAAGTAATCAATGCAGTCGTTTATTCTTGTTTCGTTTAGTGGTCTGAATTTTATGATGCTGGTCTGATTATCTAAGCAATGATTTTGAGGTAAGTTAATCGTTTTTATGATTCATTTATGATCTGAAAGGTAAAAATCTTCAAGATCTATTTTACAATCCGCTGTAGGGATGTTTGCTAAACAATTATCTAAACAAGATTTCGATTTTTTTGTAATTCTGGTAGGTTCCGACACTAAATAGTTAAAATTATAAGATCTCAGTAAGTTAATGAAATCGTTTTTTAAGTTACTATCAACTAAAATCAACATTTGGATGGTCGAGAATCAACTTCTAAAGGGTTAAAAACTGAAAAAACTGGTCGAGAACCCATTTCAAATTGGTCGTAAACTGTGAGGGCTGGTCGAGAACACCCGAAATAACACATTTTCCAGTTGTTTTAAAATATTTTAATTTATATATTAAAAATTTACAAACTAATAGTACAATAACATTCTCAGATGTTCCATGTATCAAAAAGTTAAGTCAAAATTAACTTACAGTTAATAATGTATTTTTTACAAAGATTTAAAATTCACTTTTCCCTTAACTGGTCGAGAACCGGCTAAGTTACCCTACTTTTGATTGAATGTATACGCCTCTAAAATTTATAATTCATTTTAAGCCCTTATTTTTAGTCCGATTTTACTAAATTGTGCTAAGAAAAAATTAAAGCCATTAATAATTTTTGAATTTTCAACTTTAACACCCTGTATTTCGGAAACCAGTTATATTTTCTCTAAACATGTTTCGTTTAATCGTCTTACGTTTAATAAGTGTATCTTCAGTTGTCCCATTCTTAATGATACACCCTGTATCTACCTGACATCTGTTTCGTCAACCAGACTAACATCATCAAGAAACACTGAACGCGCTGCAGTTTTTTATATTTAATTAAAATTGATTTATTACACATATGTCTCATAACGTATACCATGTTATGTTATGCGACATTTTAAATTTAAATAATATATTATTACTCCGTCTCTGTGACATCTAAACGGATAATTACTATATAAATAATGAAGTTTCCTATATATGGACTATTTATAAATTATGACTACTCATTCTAAGAATATCAAATCGAGAAACGATCAGAATTGTAATGAAGTTCATTTCGTAAAGGAGAATTTGCTTAAACTTACCGTGACCTAATTTTAGAACACCAATAATCGTAACCGTCAATATCAGATTCCCAATTACCAAAATAAACAGCAAAACCAGCAAAGTCCAAAACGCAAAAGTCTTCCTTCCTCTCATTCCGGGTTTTACATTTTCCACTGGCATGTAACCCGCTTTGAAATTGTTGTTAAACTTGGGCACCGTTCGGTTTAAAATGGCCTTTTCTTTCACAGAACTCGTATCCATTTCTTCAGAAAACGGGTCCGACGATTGCGGAGAATTGGATCGATAATCCATGATTTTTCTATTTTTGGGATAGGCAGTTTGGTTTTAGGAAGACATTATGTCTAGGTATTTGTTTGTTTTTGAGATATTGTGACACGTTCGAGCGTCGCGACGGCTGATATCGATAGAACGACGCCTTGAGTGATCGCGCATAATAGAGATGGGAACTTCATATCAAGTTATATAGTTATTTCGTAACTTTAACAAAATTCCTATTTTATTATACCATTCATAAATTTCTGCTTAACAAGTTTGATGTCCTTTTTATTATATTTTCAAGAACAAAACATATATCATCATGAAAATTGTTTTAAAATGCTATTTGATATTTCAAAATATCAATAATGGTGAATTAGCGATATAAACTAGTATTTCCCAAAGTGGTCCAGGTGGACCCCCAGGGGTCGACGGGGTCTACGTTGGGTGTAATAAAAAAATGGCACTTTTAATACATCTAGGTGATATTGGAGTTGTTGCGATGCAATAACTGGATTAATGTGTGTTGATAGGGGCTGTATCATCTGCGAACATTGCTATTTTAGTATTGTTTATAGTAGGTAAGTCCGCGGGGTATATTAAGAATAATATAGGCCTCAAAACACTCCCTTGTGGTAGTCCAGCCTTTATTAGGTGACAACTTGAAAGTGCAGAATTATGCTTGGTTTGGAAGTATCTTTCGGTAAGATATAATTTTAGTAGCAAGTAATAGGGACTTGGAAGAGTTTTTTTGATTGTGTGCAATAAGCCACTATGCCACACCTTATCGAATGCTTGAGCAACGCCTAGAAATGCGACGGTACAAAATGTTTTTTCTTAGAGAATTTTGGTAATTTGGTTAATTATCGTATGCGTTTTCTGGACGGTCGAGTGGTGTTCCCTAAACCCAAATTGATTGTCAGGGATTAGTGTGGATAATTTTACATCGTTAACAACTCTGTTTAATATCAATTTTTCAAATAATTTGGATGTTTTTGGTAATTAGCTAATAGGACGATAAGAACTGACTTCATTCAACGGTTTTCCAGGCTTAGGTATCATTATGATTTGAGCAAGGGGAAAGTATGACAATCTCAGCGTGCTGTTGAATATTATTGTTAACAGCACCATAGTCTTCCTCGGTAAGTGTCTTAATATTTTTCCAGTAGCAAAGAAATTTTGTCTGAACCTGTTCTAATCTATGAATGTGACAAGTATACTGGGGGTTTTAGACTGAAGAGCAATGTTCTAGCAGAAGCCTAACAAGACTACAGTATAATAACCTGATAGCATTAATATTAATACTTGTAAAGTCCGATGTGTTTCTCTTTATAAACCCAAGCATACCAAGTGCTCTGGGTACTATTGTGTCAATGTGATTGTGCACATGAAATCCATAATAACACCCAGATCTCGAATGGATGCAACTTGGGACACTGGTGTACCCTTGATATTTCCAGCTAGCACATAACGTTGCCAAGCCTTTCGGCGATGTTGCATTATGGGAACGTAATAACATTACTGTACAACGTAAATGCAACGTTCATGAGAAGTTGTTGAGGGAAATCAAAACCTCGCAAAACTTCTAATTTGTTATTTACCTAGTTAACCTACAGTAAACATTACAAATCTGGATTCAGAACGTTTAGTTTTATGTCAATTGTCACTTGTCAGTTTTTCTTGTCAATTGTCTTTTTTAATGGTTTATTTTTCGACATCAGAATTTATTTTATAAATAATTATTATTTATACATTCGAATAGATTTGGTAAGGGTCATCTATAAAATAGATAACTATTTTCTAAACCATTGTCTTTGTTTCAGATTACAATGCCTGATGTAAATTTATTATTTCATTCATTAAAGTATCTTTAGTATCTTGCTAAAAAACACCAGTTGTTTTTTATAAAATCTACATATCGATGGCTCAATCAAATACTGCCACAACTAAAATACTATTATTTCGAGAAATTTAGTCTATATTATCATTATTTTGTTTTTGACATACTCTTTATATTTTATTTAAAAGCTTCGATATTTTGCTGTTAAATAAAATGATTACGATTATAAAAGTGAGTTGTTGCATAGTTGTAAAAAATTTGGGTGTTTTTGAAGAAAATAACTCCAATTGAGGCAGTTTTAGACACAGTTTGTGGCTACATTTTAAATGATTTATCTTTAAGGATATTTTTGTTTGTGGTGGTATTTAAAGTAAAACCGTAATGATATTTTGCATCCATTGAACCAAAATTGTAATTGCTTTGTTTTCTGACTTGTGGCGGTTTTTGATTGAGCCATCGATATATCTACTTTGGAAATCAAGCATAAAATTTGTAAAATTCAAACAAATTTCAATACACTAACATTGGTTGTTTTATTTAAAACAACAAAGTAAGGCATATTTTTTAATTTCTATATAATTTCATTTAATTAATAATAGGTAAACAAGTTATCAATTTCTTTTTTATTCAATGTATTGAGAAGTAAAATCTTTTTATATAAAAATATAATTTATGCTCTTCTAATAAATTGTCATATTTAGGTTACATTATAGCACTTTATAAATATCTATGCAAAAAAAGTTAAAAGGCTTGATTTAAAAAAGATATATCTCTGCGTCTTAGGTAAGAAATCAGCGAACTTAGCTATCCTCTAGTAATCTAATATAATAATATGTACCTAGTCATTGTTGTATTCGTTTATTATTTTTCACCAATCTAGCTTTATCATCGTTCACCATTTAAGGTTTTAGTGAACCTTTGCAATATTGGTACCTTATTATACTATTTAGCTAATTTTGTCCAATCGTTCAGTGCTTTCTAGGTAGCTTCTTCTATCCCACATGTGTACTTGTGTTTGTGATATAAGGTGTGTTCTTTTATTCAATAATTGTTCCATCAGTGATTGATGTAATTTATCTATTCTGCAGTCGTTTTATATTTGAACTCTTATATTTTAGGTTAACTTAAATGATTGATTATCCTCACCATTCGTCTATCACATATCCATCGGCTTTTAAAGCCGATGGATGCCTTGGCTCATTGGTGAACTCACCGCTGGAAAAAAGAATGATTGACACATACAATCGTCTTTCCATCACTTAATTTACGAACGATTTGCTGCAAGCGCTGGATACAGCACTGAATAAAAGAACACGCCTACACCTACCTCTACTTTTGTGCTATTGGTACTTAATTTCAAGAACATTTTAATAATAAATTTATATAAATATTTTGTTTTATTTGAAATTTTCATGTCTCGATTGAGATTTTACTATAGCCTCAATTTCAGCCTCTCTGTATTACATTACACAATGTGTGTCCACGGATGGACTTAATTATACTTGTAAAAATATTTATTTTAAATTAAAGAAAGTTATTTTTCATAATTTCTCAATGTGAATCGAATTTATTTAACAAGCAAGAAATTATGAAGAATTACTTTTTTAATTTAAAATAAATATTTTCACAAGTATAGTTAAGCCCATTCGTGGACACACTGTATAATGCTGTAGATCTAATTCACATTATAACATCAATAGAACGTTTCAGAGCAACTTTCGGGGTAAGTACCGTAAAAGTGCTAGTGTGATGTTTTTCGAACTTCACTTTGTAACTTCTGTGAGATGTGCTATAAAAGTCTTGCCGTTGCGGACATTCGGTAGTTGCAGGGATAATAGGGTTACATTTACAGTACATTGCATGCTAGCTTAAAGAGCCTAAAATTGCAGCTTATTAACGTAGATGAGATGTTTTTGTGCTAGCTGGGTTATATTGATAATCAGTCCTGGTGATCTTCTTAGTGGCACTTAGTGATGTTTAGGTCCATATAGCATTATTCGGACACCACTCATTAAGCCTAGCCAGACCAGAATGAAGTTTGAGACAATTCTCAAGAGATGAAACTGCTAGGTAGCACTTTAGGTCATCAGCAAAGCATAAAAATTTGGCAAACTTGAAACATTCTGAAATATCATTTATAAATAATAAAAATAACAAAGATCCCAAATGGGACCTTTGGGAGACTCCAGATGGATTGGGAATATTTTTAGATCTGTAATTATTCCATTTAACAGTTTGGAATTTTTCAGATAAATAACTCGCCAGCCATTGCCATAATGTTCCCAGTCTCCAGTTTATTTAACAAAAGTTTGTGATTGACCCTGTCGAACGCCTTGGAAAAGTCTGTGCACCTCACCCATCTCTATCCAAGACGTCCGACAGATAGTCAACAAAAGCAAGTGAATAGATGATTTCAACAGAAGACATCTTGAAGTTGCAAGGTCATTGGAAGATCTTTTCGCCATCTACAAGTTTACATAACAACTAATAAAATAAAAAAGAAAACTGTAAATTATTATTTTGGCAATCTGTTTAAGGTTACAGCGTCGGTATTCATTTTTTTCTTTGTCTTCTTCATTAGTTGTATGTGCTCAGTTTTTTACTATCTCTTTCTACTTAGTGCCAGGTCCCAGAGTCTTATTTTTCTTAGTCATGTGTCATGTCAAAATTTGTAAAAACATAAAACGACCTAACGCGCGCTTAGCAAGCCATGTAGATCTAGATTCCAGATCTTGGCGATAGTGAGAGTGAAAACTGAGGCCATACAACTAAAGAAGAAAACAAAAATTATACTTAACGCCGCTGTAACTTTAGATACATTGCCAAAATAATAATTTACAGTTTTCTTTTTTATTTTATTAGTTGTTATGTAAGCTTATAGATGACCTAAGATGGACGTCCACATGGACGCCAAAATACTACTAAACGTGTACTAAACTTAAAATAATATCCAATAGCGAACGTCGACTGAGTATCGATATGCAGCTGTCAAATTAATGTTTATTAACGGACATACATTGGATGCCCAAATACTGCTATAACGTTCTGGCCCTTAAATTAATCTAAAATTGACGTCCATGGGACGTATGAAAACCCTCATACCCCATTAATAAATAGTATTGAATTTATAGGCCCCCCTATATCTCGTATTAGCCAGACATGTGTTAAAACTTTTATGGGCCTTATTTTTCATTAAGAGTCACTCTGCTTAATATTATGATTCTAATTTTTCTGGGAATTTCTTTTTTTTGTGCTGATACAGGACAGGGATTCTTATATGCGATCTCAACACGTTACGTGTTGAATAGAGACATTACATAGGAATCGCATTCTGTCGAACGAAGATAGGCGTCAAATAATACACTTTAAGGCCCCCATAGACGTAGCGGTATACTTGAACAGTATACATGTACAAGTTTATTGCACAAGTATATTGGGCCGTGTGTTTAGTAATATTTGCACAAGGGACATGGAAATTCTATATTTTTAAACATGATGTGTGCATGTCGGACTTGCGTAAGTGGAATTGAGCGTGTGAATATGAAAGACTGGTACAAGCTTGAAACAGTTGAGATTTCATCATTTGTTAAGTAGTGCGATTTTGGTGCTATGAGAAGTCACTTGAAAAAAGGCCATCGAACATGAGCCCATGCCTAGTGCGTTAAAGGCAGAGTTCCACGATAGGGAAAAGAAGGAGGCGGCTATAAAAAAACCAATACAAAAATGAGAGACATTGACCCAAATGAAGATCGTGATACAGTGGTTAAAAAATTAACGCCTTCCAAAAGAATCACAGAAAAGAGAAAAAAAGTCAACAGCGGCCAGGGCCAGAGCTGGGATGAATCCTCAAAATAATAGATTTGAATGACGAATCCGAATTAAGAGATGTGATTCGAATCGCGGATCCTATATTCGAATCAAGTAATTCGAATCCATTTTTTCGGATGACGAATAGAAATCACTGTCAGTGTCATACCATGGTAGAGTACGATTCAACATTCAACTAAGAAAAAGCCACACGCATCATACCTGACAAAGGCCGCAATAATTTGCCTCTCTCTCAGGTCCATCCCATCCCATCCCCAGAGATACAATTGCTTAATAATTTGGCAACGCTGTACGACTACCGCATGGTCCAGAATATAATTCGAACAGAAGGTATCGCGTAAACATGGATCCCTTATTATTGTGAGCCAAACTTCGGCGTTGCCAAGCTTTTACTTACGAACAAAAATACGGGTTCATCGAAAGAAAGTGAAGACAGCAAAGGTACTATATAATAGTTCATTAACGGACGAACTAGGATGTACTCCTCTAGTTTCACTTTTTGCACTAGTTGCATAAATAACTATTATTTTAATTGTAATAAGAATCTTAAATTACAAAATTGTGTTGCTATTTTTATTTACTTCCCACTGAATGTTTTGCAAGTCTAAAGTCGAAAAATATATGTAATGTTATTTTAGTTTAGTTATTTAGGTAATATACAAATGTTTAAATCATTAAAATTTAACTTTTTAATCCAATAAATGTTTTTTGGTGGTGTGTGTGTGTGTGTATGTATTTCTGTTTGACACTGGTTTCAAAACCAACTGGCCAGTCAATCTTTAATTAATTTTAATAAAGTTTATTTTGTGTTAATTCAATTTTAAGTTCTATCCTTACAATTTTCACAGTTCACATTTTATTTGAAAAATACAAATTTCTCTAAATACATTATTAAGAAGTAAATCCTATAATAGATTTTTTCTAGCTCATGTTTTTTGCTTGTTTTTGATTTTTTCGTCTGTTTTTGTTTTTTACTTGTTTTTGTTTCTGTTTTTTTTTTGTTTTTCTTTTTTTTGCATTTTTTTTGTTTTAATTTTTTTTTTTAATATTTAGTTTTGTTATATTATTTTTTATTTTTGTACATATTTTAATTCTTTTCGTCAGAGCTTTAAATTTAAGGAGTTTACATGATTATAAATAATTTTGTATACATCGAAATTCTTGAGGGCGAGAAGGTGTGACAAATTAATAGGTAGTTGGACATTATGTTGAATAAGTTTGGTATATAGATTTGATATGTCAATATCATTTAAAATACATTCTAAAAGTAAATGTTGTAAATCGGCTACCTCGCCGCAGATGCATTCATCATTGTCTACCAATCCCATTCTTCTTTTATAATTTGGAGTCAGGCAATGATTACTTCTAATTCTACAAGTCGTTCTAATAAAACTTCTGTTACAGAATTTGCTAAACCATGGTATGGAGGGTACCTTGCTTTGAATGTTTTTAAAAAATTGACCTTTGAACAGTTATAATTGTCCTGCCACTTACTTATTTCAAATAATTTAATATAGCAATTTAAATCGCCTCTTGGGACTTGATATGAATTTATGATGATATTATCATCAGTTCCTTTTTTTGCCAAATCATCTACAATTTCGTTATTTTTAATTCCAATATGTGACTTTATCCAACATAACGTTATATTTTTTCCCTTTTTTCTTGCCTCACTATTTAGAGCAATAATTTCATAGATAATATAATTTATTTCGTTGTTAATTGTAATATCTCTTAATTTTTGAACAATGCTTTTGCAGTTTGTAAAAATTATATAATCTATTTCTTTTTGTTCTATACATATTTTGAAAGCCTCTTTAACTGCTATAAGTTCTGCTGTATAAATTGTTATTAAATCGGGTAATCTATTTTGAATTTTAATAGCTTTTTGTGGATAATTTTTGAACCATCTGTGTATAGCTTTTGGTAATTTTCCCAGTAATTTTCAACATATAATAAATGATCAATTTTTGTCAGGGCGTCAGTTGCTTGAATCTTACTGAAATGACAACTGAACGGTACTAAATAGTCTTCGTAATTTAACTTTAAATAGGACATGTGTTCTTTTGGATTAATTCCGGTAAATATATTTGAATAATCAAGAAAACTTTCTACAAATAATGGCAATTTTTTCTTTTTCCAATATTGATGTGTTAAGCAGCTGGTAGTTAATTGTACAATTTTATTTAGCAATGTTTTACCACTTACAACTAAAAGGACTATAAATTTAATTCCTAAAAATTGTCTGCGTAAAATTAATGAGGGCTCACAAAGTTCCGCTTCCATAACCTTGATAGGTGTGCTAGGCAGATAACCAATGCATAGCCTTAAAGCTTTATTTTTTATACGTTCAATTTTTTGAATTGTGGAATTTGATGCAGAGCCATAAAATATTGATCCATAATCCAAGATAGATCTAATTATTTTTTTAAATAATAATAAAGAGATATGTGGATCTGCTCCCCAATCACTAACGTTGACAGTCTTGAGAATATTCATAGCATTTTCAGTCCTTCGTAAAATGTAATTTATGTGTACTTTCCAGTTCAATTTGTAATCTAAATATAAACCAATAAATTTAACTGAAGTTTTATAAGGGAAGATACTGTTTTCAAACTGTACATAATTAGGAGGATTAAAACGTTTTCTAGTGAATGTAACGACTGACGACTTATTTTCTGAAATAGCAAAATTATTATTTCTAGCCCAATTTGTTGTGACAATAAATGCTTCTTTGAGGAGTTCATTACATTTATCTATCGATTTATTTTCCACGTAAATTGCAATATCGTCGGCGTACTGTAAAATTCTTATGTGCTCTGGAAATTGTTCTTCTAAATCTGCAGTATATAATATATACAAAAGAGGACTTAAAATACTGCCTTGCGGAAGTCCTAATGATGTATAACGAGAGTTAGTTTTATCCCCATTTATTCTTATGTATACTTCTCTATTAACGTATAAACTAATTATATTATGTATAATAGTAGCTGGAATACCCATTTCGGACATCTTTTTAGGGAGAATATATAGATTTACGCTATCATATGCTCCCTTTATATCTAAAAATAAAGCACTAACTGATTTACGAAATGTGAGGGCATTGTAAACGTCAGCTAATAAATGTCCAAGACTCTCTTGAGTAGATTTTCCTTTTCTAAATCCAAATTGAGTTTTTGATAATTTATTGTTTTTTTCTAGCCAGAATTCCATACGAGTCTTAATAAGTCTCTCATATGTTTTAAGTATGCATGAAGCAAGACCTATTGGACGATAAGAGTCCCAGTTTTTTGAAGATTTTCCTGGTTTCAAAATAGGTAGGATAATATAAACATGCCAATCACTGGGTATCTCTGCCCTACCACGCCATATATTATTATATATGGCTAACAAAGCAGCTTTACCAGCAGTTGACAAGTTAGTCAACATTGGGTAGTGGATATCATCGACTCCTGGAGAAGTATTTAGTGTTCTTTTTTAAAGCAAAATGGAGTTCAACATCTGAAAAAGGTTTAAGAAGATAACGAACATCTTCAGGATAATTATTAAAAGGGGACATTGATAATTGGGAAACTGCTTTAATTCTTATTTAAATAAGAGCCTACGCCACTGGTATATCGATCTGGAGCAACGGAGAAGGAATATTTTAAAGTGAGGCATACGATGACTGGTTGATGACGCCCGTGGCTTTTTCTAAGTTGAATCGTACTCTATTATGTTCCTAATCTAATATTGTCTACTATCAACTATGTATCTATTACGGACTATGACGTGTCAACCAGCAGGTTTTTGACGAGTTGATAACCTACAGGATTTTGATGACTGTGAATATGGCTGTTTTTAGACAATTCTGGGCGGCAACCAGCAGGTTTTGACAAGTTGAGAGGCAGTTCAATCCTGGAGGATGCATAATGGTTCTTGTGAGGATTTATTGTCCCCTCTTCAATTTTAGACGCCCGTAAATTTCTACTAAAGTTATTTATTGAAAGTATGTCATTAAATACCCACTTTTTTAATGTCTATGGTCTCAACTTATTGGTCTAATTACTACCAGTCTAATTCTTAAATTTAAATGATATATGTCTTTTTGACAATATGTCAAATTTTATTATATAACAAGAGAAATCAAACTTCCAAATTTTATTAGACAAAATTCCAGTGTATATTACAACTCAATAATATTATGTCTGAAAAATGGATTTCACGAATTGTAAGTTTTTGCATTAAAACAAATAGACACGTTTTGATAACTTTTTTACATTTTAGATTGGTTCTAATATCGGACCATATTTCTTTAAAGGCACAAAAGTAAGAATATACCTATTCATTTCAGTGTTTATTATAAATTAAAACCTAATTTGACTTACTTTTCAGAATCATTTCTTTACGCTCAGATTTTACAAGAGAAACTATTGTGTAAGTACTTTTCATTAAAAACAAATTTTCATTTTGTATTGGTAGGTTATAACTAATCATAAGTAGATGGTGGGGCAGGGAATTATCCCGAATTTTACCAGCGCATTGTGAAAGAGTAAATGTCGTAAACTATATAGTGGGGAAGGAACCAAACTACGTAGTTGTTTGGGAAGTTTCAGCCAGTACCTACGAATCTCAGTCTCAAGAATAAAATGGTAGAATTGAAGACTCTGATGCAAAAAGTATTCTTCTTTTTATAGTGGAATAATAAAAGGACACTTGGTGCAGGAACGAGGCAGCTTTGTTGATTTATACAAAGGTTATACAAAATATATTTTTGTCCCCTACTTCAGTTCGGTGCAAAAAGGAGACAACTCCTCAACTTATTTTTAAATGCTGTACTTTAACTAATTATTTTAGTGTGAAATTTTGACACATTATTGTATTCTTTACTAAACTGATGTTTACAAAAATTGAAAACAAATATTCTTGAATTTAAATTGTTTTTACCTTCTCTTGAAAAATTAATAAAAACGGAGCTACCCCCTTTTTGCAACAGTGTCTTCTATTAAGGAGAAACGCGCTTTTCGTAAAAGTGTACTTTTCCAAAATAGATCGATATTCGAGGTACAGCGTACAATTTGTACTTGTTACCAAATTACTTCTCGACGAAATTCAGTTGTTAGCATGGAGTTATAAGGTAGGGAGACGCTATAGCGTCATTCAGAACGGTATCACTTGGCGTGGATGTTGTCAACCCAATATGGACGAGCCGCCACATACGGACTTTTCTGAATGAAACCCAAATCTACATTTTTATTTTTTTTTTTGTAGAAAATGTAAGCAATATTTATTATTTGTTATAAAATGGATGATTAAGGTCATAATAACTAATTTTTAGTAATTCCACCGAGAATTCCACTTATTGATAAAATAAGTTTCAAGGAATAAAAAATGTGCAAGTGGAAGATCGTATTTTCCGAGTAAACCACAAATACTTAGTCGACATTCGCTCGGCCTGACACCGGCATGTACGAGAAGCCGAGTACTCGGATTGCCGTTGTCGGGGTTTCTTCTGAGCCGGGAGTACCGTACCATTTGACGTAATTTAGAAGTAGAAACAGCATGTGGTCCATATTTGGCTTTGCAGACATGGAAGGCATCCTTACGCGCCGAAAGTGGTGATTATTTGGCTAGCCGGGCATGGAAGGCATCCTTACGGGCCGAACTATAGATAGATATATGAACGCGGCTACAATGTAATGGGCTGCCGACATTCGGCTGGGCGAACATGCCCTACCTATATGCCGAAGCTGCACCCGTATATCGGGCCGAGCACAGGATTCGGCAAGCCTCCTTCGGCCTAGTTACGGTGCCGATTAACTGTGTTTATTGGGGTACAATATATTTAGTTTGCAAACGACATAAAAATAGAAAAAACGTTGATTGAAACCACGATTAGCTGTTTGAAGGATTCGTGAACACAATATGGCGAAAGTGAACCCGTTTTGGACCACGTGACAGCGTCTCCCTACCTTCTACCTCCATGGTTGTTAGGTTAAACAGGAAGTTTTTCTACCCACAACAATATTTTCCGATCGACAATCAATCTATTTCGGGAAAGTACACGTCGACAGTAAAAGGTTGCTCCTCCATCGACCACATTATTTTTACGTCTGAGATACGTACTGCCAGTACGGTACTGGTTGTAACTTCCCAAACAACTGTGTCATTTAGGTCCATTCCCACTTGCTACATTGGGTGCGTTCACCAGACGTCAGCAGTTAACTTTTAAGCACTAAACGGCTGGGCATTAACATCCGGCAGCAGATGCAAATTGGCCGTTGAGTCTCTGTCTGTCACAAAACTGTCAGATTAGACTGTTGAACATAACCTTATAATTATTGGCTGGGTGGGCTGATGCTGATCCTCGTAAGAAAACACCAAACTGTAGGTTGACAAATTTTCTGTTTCAGTTTCTATAATATGTGCGTTTTAAAAATCAAGAAATCACGCGCAACAATTAACTGTCATCTCACTGCGCATGTCTAAAGGCGGGTACAGATCTGAGCACGTACGCTTTTGAGGCAAGCCGAGGACGCATGAGCATGCAGATGTGGACGAGCTTCCGAGGCGCGGCAAATTGCACCGTGCGGCCTCGCCCCGATCCGTTTGTTGGCGGTACATCAAAAGGAGGCAATGCGCAGTACGTGCTCAGTCTGGACGGGGAATTTGTACCGAATAGATTATAGCGAGTATTTAAGGTTTCTTTTGCATGAAGTGGAGACAGAAAAAGGTTTTTCTTCTCCTGGATGTATATAATCAGCGAGATATTTTATGGAGAGCAAGACAAAATAATAAAACAGGCACTCAACTACAGCGCCTCGTGCATCCACAATTCGTGTATACAAAATGCGTTGCACGAGATATTCGGTTCGGCCTCGGCTTGCCTCATACGCGCACGTGCTCAGATCTGTACCCGCCTTAAGCATATGTTGAGTCGGCTCAGCACAAATTCATCGCATTGGGTGAAATTTGCAGCAGATGAGATTCAGCGTAAAGTCATCGTGTCTGCCGAACGCGATTGCTTACTCAACTGTTGCCATCTTGTTTGACAATACTCTGGAGAAATTCGGGATAATTCCTTACCCCACCCTGTTGAACTGTATTTTTACAAATTTTTACTTATACTTCAATAGAACGAAAGGTGGAAACTATGGCATTAAAAATAATAAAGTTAATCTACTGCTAATAAGCTGAAATTCCGGGATCTCAAACCGCGCATTGTGTTCGTCTAATGTCCGCAACTGCGGGGGGTTATGGATTTTGTCATTGAGTTCCCCTTCGTATCGCATAACAAATAAAATGAAAAAAATTACTAGGTATGTAAACATATCTGTCTTCGAATAGTTTCAATGTCAAGTACAGACGGCGCAACGATCTTTATTTCTGGTTCCTATAAATGGCTTGTGACGAAATGTAAAATTATCATTAAATATATTTTTGAATCCAGAATGTCTATGTATACAGGATTTATATAGATATCGCCAAAAAATAACACCTAAGTACTTCATAGCATTTGAAAAAATACAGGAATTAGGTATGAAGCCATTGTTTGGTAGCCAGAAAAACCAGAAAAATATTCTCTTAGGAGTACAAATGTTGACATGCTTTATATTATAGGAGCACTGAAAAGTACACAGCCTCTATGGAAATCATACTAAACCTCCCGCCCCTTGACCTCGTCATAAAAGAAAGAGGCCAGATTGAGTGCATACAGATACTGGATATCTCCAATAACTGGAACCCACAGAAAAATATATATAACATCCAGTGCTTATTTTTTCGTGTTAGGTATACGACTAGTTAATAAAATGACTATAGTCGTCGCGGTCGACTAGTATTATAAGATATTATGGTGGTGGGATATTAGCCGAACCGAATATCAGAGATTAAACCAGAGAACATTGCGATAGGGGGATGTATATCAGAATAACAATTTGGAACGAGATTACATGACACCTCGCCTAACCTTACAGACTCTTCCTGGGTATGTATTCTTGAATCTCAGGAAGTAGAAATTTTGAGGGAAGAATGAGACAAAAATACAAATATTGTGCGTTGCAGATAAAGAGGAAAAAACCAGTTTTCTATTCCCTAGAATTCAAAAATAAATTCAAGAATATCTACCCAGCGGTCGACTGCCACTTGAAGGAAAAACTTCAGGAAGTAGATACTTGTTTAGGGGTCTCGCATGGTATACGAATGGATCTAAAACTAGCAAGGGCGACATCACCTCTTCATTAGGAAAACATAACACTGTATTTCAAGCTGAAATACATGCAATGTTAGAAAGAATTTAAGAATATAGGTTTAAACCCTTTATTGGTACAGAATCAAGTAAAAGTTGGTGAATACTAAAATACTTAAACTAGTTTGGGTACCAGGACATAAAGGTACGCAAGGAAATAAAAAGGCCGTTAAAATCGACTAAGATGAATCAGTACTACCATTCACAGGTCCCGAACCTGTATTTAGGATAAACAAAAACTCTGCTTGGCAAGCAGTGAACAGGTGGATAACCACTAAATACCAAACTCACTGGCAACTAATAAGGTACAGAATAAGTAAACTCTTGCTAATGAGATCAAACGCCCTTTTCGGCCTAGAACCGAAAGGAACGCTCAGGAACACTTTGTAGGGAACTTAGTAAAACTAACCGAAGCTACAAGACTATTTAGAGACTACTATTCAAATATAGTATCCAGTTGAATAAGACTTCAGTCAATTCTTGCCTAAAAGCAATCGATACATATTTTGTGTTTTACCTTTATATTCAATGTTTTAACTTTTGTTGAATTTGATTTTCTTTATTTTAATTGTAGAGTGTGTAGTGAACTAATGCCACTAAGTTTTAATGCTGTGTTTTAATACTTTCCAACAATTAAAAGGACTCCTCGAACTCAGAAAAATACATAGCAATCAAGACCACCCTTGCTATAAAGTTCAAAATGCGGTGTTTTTCTCTGTATTCTTTTGAGTTATCGAGTTTTCAGACACACACAAACATCATAGAGAAAAGAGTCAAAACAGATTCAGGGGACCCCAAAACGTAAAAGTCCGTCGAATACCCGAGGTCGAAAAAAATCATGATTCCTATCGACAGGAAAGTAAAAATTAATGAATAATTTCTACAATTTATGTAATAAATTTAGCAGCAGTTATGAGAATACTAAAAATGGCACTTACCTTAAATATCTATTTTTCCATGAACTGCGTAAACTATTTCGAATTTTTTTTTATAATTTGTAGGAGAAGTGGGAGACAAAGAGAGGTTGGTTTAGCAACTTCAATTTTAAACAGTAAAACCAAAATAAACAGTTAAAGAAATCCCTTGTAGATAAATTACACTTTTTTATTTAATAAATAATTAAATAGGGTAAATTTGTACATCACAATGGTTTACATGAATTCCTGGAATGCTTCATTTTCATCAATAA